CACCGTTCTGCCTTTTCTTATTCTAACTTTCAAAACTATTGTTCCAGGTGAGTTTGGATTGCAACACCATCATTTTAACCACCGCCGTCTAGATCGGGAGCCTTGGAAAGCCAAACTGGGGTGAAGGTAAGCAAACGGTGGCTACAGCGTATTCATTCATTCATTCATTCATTCATTCATTCTATTTATATCCCGCCTATCTGGTCAATAATAGCTGCCAGTGGTGAATCCATGGGACATTCTGTACTGATGTGTTGATTTCCAATTTAGCAATTGCTGTAATTCAGTGGGCCGGCTTTGGTGGATTCAAGCCTAGAGTGTTGGAATAAGTCGAGGGCCGACCGCATCGCATTGAGGCAAGAGAGACAATGGGTTCGGGGTGGCAAATCCTGGAAGGGCAGCTGCGGGCATTTTTCTGCTGCCCCTCCTGGACTTTTTGGTTGTTGGAAAATGGAGCCCCACCGCCTGCCCAGGGAACTCTTCGCCAGTCAGTGGCCAGTCAGCTGCCCTTCAGGTTGGGAGGAAGACAAGATGGCGTTGCCGTTCATTGAAGCGAAATTCAGCTGCCAGACCGGCTATCTTCTCAGTGTGGAACAGGGAACAGGTGCTCTCTTACCCTTAGCAAAGGTAAAGGTTCCCCTTGACATTTAGTCCAGCCGTGTCTGACTCTAGGGGGCGGTGCTCATCCCCATCTCCAAGCCATAGAGCCAGCATTTGTCCGAAACAGTTTCCGTGGTCACGTGGCCAGCGCGACTAGACACGGAACGCTGTTACCTTCCCACCGAGGTGGTCCCTATTTATCTACTCGCATTTTTTACATGCTTTCGAACTGCTAGCTTGGCGGGAGCCGGGGCAAGCGACGGGAGCTCATTCCGTCGCGTGGATTTGATCTTACGACGGCTGGTCTTCTGACTTTGCACAGAGGCTCCTGCGGTTTAACTCGCTGCACCACCACATCCCTTCTCTTACCCTTGCCCTTTGCCATAATCAGCAGAATAGGGATTTTTCTGGTGTGTGTGTGTGTGGGGGACCTAGACCAGGGTTCGGGGAGGTGGTTTGCCCCTTCCAGGGCTCACAGCAGTGAAATGCTGCAGGCAAACAGCCCCACACCAGGAACTATGTTCCGGCTCCAGCCACCAAGCTCACAGGGTGCCTGGGCTAGTCACTCCCTCTCTGCGTATGTTACCTTGCAGGGTTGTTGTGAGGTGGGACGCCTCTGCTGTCCTCACCTCCTAGGAGATAGCATAGGATAGAAAAGGAAGACCGAATAGAAACGTCCAAGTCTCCCGCCAGATGTGAATAGAAAAACCCCGTTCGGCCGTTACACCTGAAACCATAGACAGGGTTCAAATGGTGGTGAGCCTTTATGATGTGCCTAAGCCCTCTTCCTGCGCCTCCCGCCCATGAGAAAGTCACTGAGGCTTTTAAGTCCAAAGCAGAGTCTGCATAACGGCATTCATCTCAACGTGCTTATTGTATCTGTCACGTACTGACTGAACAGGGCAGAAGGCCCAGTGCAGAGTGTGAAATGCCATTTCCACCACCCGAAACTATACACTTCCTACCTGTACTTATTTATTTAAAATTTGATTTTAGTTGTCTTTTTTTTTTAAGCTGCCTTTCTCCCAACGGCAGGACTCGCAGGTGGCTCACAGCGTTAAAAAAACAGAATTAACAACACAGTAAACACACATTAAAAATGTAAGCCATCTGCATTGAATGATTTAAAAACATTTTTAAAATTGTTGAAGCGGAGTTGAAAAACAGCATTAAGGAACTCAGTGACGACCGTTACAAGCCTGCCTGAAGAAGTGGGTGTTCAGCAGCCGGCAGAAAGGATAAAAGGGTGGAGGACCAACCTGACCTTCCAAGAGAGAGCATTTCGCAACCTGGGAGCCACGCCAGAGAAGGCCCCTCTCTTGGGACCCCATCAAGCGTACCTGGCGCTGGCAATAGGATCCAGAGAAGGGCTTCCTCTGACCATTTTAAGGTCCAGAAAAGCTCATGTGGGGAGCTACGGCCCCATATAGGGCTTTTATAGGTGCAATGACCAACACTTTGAATCGGGCCCAGAGATGGATTGGTAACCTGTACATCCTTGAACTCTCTGGAGAATACCTTCTTCAAAACTGTTCCCCCACCCTGCCAAGTCAATATTGCATGGCTTATTGCTGTGTCGCCCTGCTTATCAGTTAGCGTCCTGACTGAACCTCACAAAACCAGAATAAATTTCTAGGCGGTATTCTGAGTGGAGATGAAATGATGTACCTTAAGACAGGTTTGCTTGATAAAAATAGGCAGGACGTAACAGCTAGCTTGGTTGCCAGAGAAAACAGATTTTGTTGTTTTTAAATATGCAATTCAAACAGCTGCAATGTAGAACCGCAGGGAGAAGAGATTCGTTTCAGCTTATTGGTTTGGAGGGTTTTTTAAAGGTATTGGAACCCCAGGGGTCTCCTTTTTTTCCCTCCCTAGTAGATTTTTTAAATGAAGATATTGATTGTCCTATTATTATTTCGCCTCTTTGCAGGATTCTGGAATTGAGCCCATTTGCCAAAACCCTTAAAAATTGTGTCATTTCCTGGGGTTTCGCTGCCCTTCGTCTGCTTCGGGAGTACTGCAGTTTATGCTACGATTATTCCTCTCTCCACGTTTTCTTTAGCGTTCAGTGAAACCTTCCTTGAGCATTGGTATAAACACGTTTGCTAACATCCTTGTACTTTGCTTGCATTTTTGTGACAAATATAGACCCAAATAAAATGATTGAGAAACAGATTGTGGACACTGCGTCGCCTGGTCTTGTTAAAAAGATTTTCGGAGGCCAGTCGGCCCCTGGAGTCATTTCTCCTGCTGTGCCTTGAACTTATTTCGGATGTGCATCAACTCAAGGTTCAGTCCCAAGCTGTGGGGGGGCGCGTGGATCATCATCGAACGGCAGGACAGGAAGGGACCCCACAGATCAAGTCCAGCCCCTGCCAAGGAAGCCCAGTGGGGAATTTGAACTCCCAACCACTGGCTCCACAGCCAGAGGCCAAAACCATGGAGTTATGCAGTCTGCCTCCAGCTGTTTTTTCCAAGGTCTGCGAGGAGTTATGCAGTCTGGCCTCCAGCTGTTTTTTCCAAGGTCTGCGATACCACGGAGAACAGCCCTCCTCTAACACAAGATGTGCCACCATCCCTTTAAAAAAAATCCACAAAAAATAACACCCTTTTTTCTTGGTTTCCACAGAGCAATGCTATATCAGGGGCATTTGGGGGAAATTTCAAGTGCAGAGCACAGGTGTTGAGGGCAGGGCATTTTGGAGATTGTGCGTTCATAAGGTCGCCATAAGTCGGAAGCGACTTAACATCACGTGACAAATAGGCTTTTAAGGTCCCGTGTTTTGTTCCCTGCTCCTGATCAATTAGGATGTTTTCTTTGGTCTTTCTATGATAAGAGAGAGAGAAAAAACAGAGTCTCATGGCATCTTAAAAGAGCCTTGTGGTAAAGTGGTTAAACTGCAGTACTGCAGCCCAAACTCCGCTCACGGACCCGGGTTCAATCCCAGGTAGCTGGCTCAAGGTTCACTCAGCCTTCCAAGGTTAGTAAATTGAGTACCCAGCTTGCTGGGTGGGGGCTCACTGTGTAGCCTGCATCATTAAATTGTAAACTGCGCAGAGAGTGCTTTAAGAGCTACGAGGCCGTAGATGAGTAGCACGCTTTGTTTTTGCTTTTAAAAGCTTTACACATTTTGTTTGGTTTTAGCTTTCAAGGATTACAGCTCACAGCTTCTGATAAAATGGGCTGCAGTCCATAAAAACACGTACCAAAAAGAACCTACAGTCGTGCCCCGCATTACGATTGCACCGCATTACGACAACAATTTTTGCGATCGGAAAACGATGGTCTGAATAGGGATTTTTCGCTTTGCAATGATTGGTTGGTTCCCTGCTTCTGGAACCGATTCTTCGCAAAACGACGATTTTCAGACAGCTGATCGGTGGTTTCAAAATGGTCACTGGGTAAATAAAATGGCTCCTCGCTGCACAGGCACCAAAAATGGCCGCCCTATGGAGGATCTTTGCTGGATGGTGAGTTTCCAGCCCATTGGAACGCATTGAAGGGGTTTCAATGTGTTTCAATTGGCTTTTTATTTTCGCATTACGACGTTTTCATTCTACAGCGATTTCGCTGGAACGAATTAACGTAATGCGAGGCACCACTGTATATCAATCTTTGTGATACCATGGATTTCTTGATGACTGCCAAGCAAGATTCTTAGAAGCAAAATGGGGCTGTCTCGTGATCCTTTTCATGAGTGACCCCCAAAAACCAGCAACCCTACTTATCTGTAATAACAAACCAAGGCCTGCATTCCTCCTCTCTGCCAGGAACGGGTCTTTTGTACATCCACTGGATCTTGACTGGCAATTCAAAATCAAGCTTCCCTAAAGTAGTTGCATTTCAATGTTTTCTTAATTTCTTTAGGGGGTGCAGCTGTTTCGGGGGGCACACGTTGGGACCCTTGGTAGGACATAACATGGCCCCAAGGTACATGTTTCTCACCCCTCATTTAATGGGTCTTGCCTATACTGACACTGAATTTCAGCCACAACTGCCCGCATCTTCCCCTCTTCAAAACAGCTGGAATTGTGCAAATAATTCTGGATACCCCATCTCTGTGAATTTCGTTGTATGTGTATATACTTACAATGACAATAAATTATTATTATTATTATTTATTTATTTGTTTGTTTGTTTGTTTGTTTGTTTACTTATTTACTTATTTACTTATTTGATCTGATTTGATTTATACCCCGCCTATCTGGACTACTCGTTCCACAACCCAGAACAATACACTTCCTACCTGTACTTATTTATTTAAAATTTGGTTTTAGTTGTCTTTTTTTTTTTAAGCTGCCTTTCTCCCAAAGGGAGGACTCGCAGGTGGCTCACAGCGTTAAAAAAACAGAATTAACAACACAGTAAATGCACATTAAGACTCAAAAAGGGCCGTTACACAGTGGCAGAATGGGATAAGGCTACCAGGTCAAGAGATTCAGGGGAGACCAATATCGTGGCTTCACCCATGGGCTTCCCACCTTGGTGGGCAGTTCCAACAGATCTTCTACCTGTCCAAATATTCAAGCACTTCAAAATGGAGCATTTCCCAGTTACAAAAGCTTGTCCATCGGACCCTAAAGTATACCCCATAGCAAGTCCTTCAATGGATTGGGTTCCAGTTATGAATTTTCTGGTAACTCGGTTCATTTTCAGCTCCCCATAAATCCTTCCCACTTCTCTAGAGCCAACCTTTTCCCAAGCAAGGGTCTTGTAAGAGGGTTGGATTACAACCTCCATCATCAGTCAACCCCTGGAGTCGTCTTAACATCTCTGGCAGTCACCAGAAGGAATAAAGGGGGTCGAAGCTTTCACCATGTATGGGTGTGAAATAGACATGGGCTCTTCGGATTTGTATCTGGGGAAACGAATACGAAGCACGGGACCGTAAGCGCCGCAGCAGTCCATTCCCTTACTCCAGAACCAACTTGGTCCACTCACCAGCATCTGCATGGCGCATGTGTCCATCAGCATCGTTGTCGCGTCAGTCCTAGAAGTAGTCCCACCGCCGACTGCTCAGTTCAGATGCTGTTTCCTCCCACGAGGTCCCATGAGAACCCATCGAAGAACATGTTGGGAGTGATTAAACATCGGTGTCACTGTGAAATCTTGGCGTGACCTGTTGATGTAAAAAATAAAATTAAAGTTAAGGCCATTTGTTTTATTTATTTCAAATATTTTTACTCTGCCTTTCCCCATAAAAGGACCCAAGGCGACTAATATCATTAAAGGGCACAGAGAAAAACAATACATAATTCAAGTATTTTTTTTAAAAAAAGAATTAAATATTCATTATATTTAAAATGTTAAATGAAAGCAATATTAAAACAGATTAAAACAACAATACTGTGATACAATAGCTTGTTTTTTTTCTGTTTTTCCTTTTTGTTTTTCCCCATAAAAGGACCCAAGGCGGCTAATATCATTAAAGGGCACAGAGAAAAACAATACATAATTCAAGTATTTTTTTTAAAAAAAGAATTAAATATTCATTATATTTAAAATGTTAAATGAAAGCAATATTAAAACAGATTAAAACAACAATACTGTGATACAATAGCTTGTTTTTTTTCTGTTTTTCCTTTTTGTACAGTTACACAACCAATAAAAATCTTTATTAAAATGTGTCTATTATTACTATTGTTATTAATGTTGTTTCTACTGTTGCTGTGATCGTTCGGGCACTTTAAACATTTGTTCCAATAAATACATTCTGGGACTTATTACAGTGTTTGTAAAGCGACCTATTCTCCTTCTTTTTCACAATATTAGAAAAGAACATTGTGGTGTTATTTCTCACATTGACTCCTTTTACTTTGCTTTGGGGGGGAAAAGACAACTAAGGCATGGCAAGAGAATGGCAAAAAATATGATAAATTCCACCCAATTACATCTTTTAAAATTGTGTCCTTTAAAGAAATTTGAAAGGAACTAGACCCCAAGTTAAGAACTTGGGGTCTGTGGACCTCCAGGGGGGGGGCATGATGTCCTCACAAGGTGTTTGCAAAAGCTTGAAAAAAATGTAATGATCTTTTGCAGTTAAAATATGGCAAGAGAATGGCAAAAAATATGATAAATTCCACCCAATTACATCTTTTAAAATTGTGTCCTTTAAAGAAATTTGAAAGGAACTAGACCCCAAGTTAAGAACTTGGGGTCTGTGGACCTCCAGGGGGGGGGCATGATGTCCTCACAAGGTGTTTGCAAAAGCTTGAAAAAAATGTAATGATCTTTTGCAGTTAAAATAGAATTAAAGCTTTCACAATATTAGAAAAGAAAATTGTGGTGTTATTTCTCACACTGATTCCTTTTACATTGCTTTGGGGGGGGGGGGGGGAAAAGACAACTAAGGCATGGCAAGAGAATGGCAAAAAATATGATAAATTCCACCCAATTACATCTTTTAAAATTGTGTCCTTTAAAGAAATTTGAAAGGAACTAGACCCCAAGTTAAGAACTTGGGGTCTGTGGACCTCCAGGGGGGGGGCATGATGTCCTCACAAGGTGTTTGCAAAAGCTTGAAAAAAATGTAATGATCTTTTGCAGTTAAAATAGAATTAAAGCAAGAAAGAAAAGGAAGCGTAGTACAAAATCGTAATTTCCCTTGCTTGTTTGTGTAAAACTTGTCTTTTCTAACCTCCCGCCTCCATTCAAAACAATCAAAAGTAAAAATAGATTATGAAAATAACTGTTTGGTAGCAAATGACTGATAGTTCTGCACACAAGGAGAACATGCCAGCGAACGACGCTGATGTGGCTGAGAGACAGAGAACACATGACTTTTCTGGCTACTGGGCATACAAAAGCAGCAAGAAGACAGAATTGGAGTAAATATCAGCATGAGTGAGTGTTCACACGGACTTCCTGATCGTGTTTCTTCTTTGATTTCTGCTAATAAAATCATTTGGTTATGTCACATGAAGTGACTTTCCAATATTATGAGTGAAGTTCATAACAATACAGTTTGGCTGAGTCTCAGCCTAAATCTGGCTTCCAGTAACCTGAGCCCATTGTTGCGTGTTCTGCATTCTGGATTGATCCTGGCCCTCCTCTGAATGATGGCCTTTCAAGTATTTTCCAGTAGCGATGTATGGGAGCGAGAGCTGGACCATAAAGAAGGCTGACTGGCGAAGAATTGATCCTTTTGAATTGTGGTGCTGGAGGAGACTCTTGA